CAAGACAATAAAGGAAGCCACTAGGATCCCCAACGAACTCTACTTGACCCTCAAGATTAAACACAACCAAGGGCGTACGAAATTAGACACGGTTTTGCGATGTTCCAAAACAAAAAATAATAATAATAAACGGAATATCTTACTCGGGTTTTATTGATGTTAGTTTACAGAGCTGACGAGAGGGAAAAAAATGTGCGAGTCCAATTCACAAACTTATCCATTGGGTTACTTCACCACTTGTCGGACTCTACACGTTTATTCTTTTTTCCGTCGTCAGGCTGCTGGAAAAATTGGGAAATAAAAAAGTTATTTATTTGAACAATCCCAGCAAGAAAGCGAGTGAGCAATGGGGTGATCAAAACAAAAGGAATTCGCAGATCGAGAAATTAACTTTCAAACGTGGTCTTCATTCTCAAGGCTTTCAGCCACCTACAGGATCAAGTGGCACGAACATGTGCTAACCAAGAACGGATAAATTTGTGGGTAAATATTCCTCGTACACTAGTCAAGCTATGCTAAATGTCGGTAAAAATTAATTAAAGTGAATTGGCTAGCTGGTTACCCAAGTACGATATGCTTTTACAAAAGGCCGCAGCATATAATAATGATAATAATGAAGGCGTAACAACAATATGCACTGGGTGAAAATGACGAAAAGGGTGATGTGAGGAATGGCGACTAAAATGGGGGTGAAAAGTATGCGTAAAGAAGGGTGTAATATTATGTGGACAAGAAAGAGTCAAAGTAGTTTGTTGGGAAATTTGAGGGGCTGTTGATGTCAAATTACGGTGTGGTTTGGGTTATGATGATGAAAGTGGCCGGTTGCTTAGGTTACGTGGGAAGGTGTGAGAAAAAGGTATATGATGGTTTTCATACAAAGACAGTTGAAGGAGAGGAATGGATGTTTGCCTGTGCAAGTAACTGAAATGTTCTCACAACTTTGAAAGCTATTTCAAACCCTGCCACTGTTTGTGCTTCTTCTTCACACACACACTTACAGGCAGAGGCAGAACTCATGGAGAAAGAGATGTATCATTCTTTTTTTAACTGTCTACTTCTTCTTTGCCGTTGGCATATTTTGATATTTAGCTTAAACGACCACATATAAAATGACACACTTGGTGACTGATGATATAATATAACCTCGTTACTTATTAAGGCGACTTCCTAGGCATCTCTACTGAAAATGACTTCTCTTTCTTGTAGAATTACCACTTTAATTTGTTTCTTTACCCATGGCGAACGGTGGCAAGTTCTTCCTTGTTTAAGAATTTTACCGACTCAAACTTTTGGGACAGAGTATTGATTACACCTTGTTGTGAGCTAATTAATACTAGCTAGCAGCAGCAGGTGCGTCGTCATATAAAACAAAGTAATATTCTGATGTAAATTCTGGTCAGATCCATCCTCAAGTTGCTTAAACCGTTCATATGCATAGGCACTCCACTTGATGAAGGGGTTTAGTGATTGGGAGCCTAAAGAGAAATGGGGCGGATTCTGAATAACGTACATATAAAGGGCTATTTATAGGAAAAATAAAGATTGATTATAATTATAAGAAAAATAAGGATTGATTTTAAGTGATTAAAGGATAAAAGAATATTATGAAAAGGGATAGTATAGGATAATAACTAGAGGATATTTGACTATTATTAAAAATAATTTAATTGGAAATATATAATTTAAGAATATTTAAATCAGATGGAAAACCTAATTTTATGGAGTTTAAATAGTGAATTTTGACTTAAGATAAATATCAACCACCTAATATAAATAAATAAATCCTAACATATCATTGATGTTTAAATGACACCTCCATTTAATTTGAGCATCATATTGGATGTCATATATGCTCATGCATGACTTGATCGAGTAGGATGCAAACTTGGATGCCAGGTTCACCTTGGATCGCATCATTTGGACTGTTAGCTAAACTTAGTATGGATCCTCTTTAATCATCCTCCAGTAAGATCCCCTTTCATCCATATCGGAAGTGAAGTCCAAGGTTTAGTTGAAGTCATTTTCAAATTTGAGAGATCACCTCGACTCGGCCTATTTCCCCTGTTGGAACTTTACTTCGCTAAGCAATATTGCTCCTTGCACCATTAATTATTTAGACGGTTCATCTTATTTTCACCTGCAATTAGCTTGATAATCTGGGTCACCAGAATAATAATCAACCTCTGGTGCCTCCAAGGATTGATTAATTTTTTTTCATTTATGATGCATTTAGGATTGCATGCATCAAAAGCAATGCTTAAGAACTGATACACATTTGGCAGACTTCAGGGTGGTATGCAAGAATGCTATTGGTCGACAAGGTGTACTGTGATGGTCAAACTTCAAAGTGGAATTTTGAAGACCCAACATGGAAAATTGAACATAAGACTTCAAATTAAAGGGTATTTTTATGATTATGCAGCTACTATAACTTATAGCAACTAATTAAGTTTTGCAGTTATGACTGGACTTAGTCTTCCTGACCTGGCCAGCGTGCTATTGATTACCAGCTGTAAGTTCAGCATATATAGTTTCAATTCAAATAATGACAGGAGGAAGCCCAAAGTCGACTTACGCGCATTCTAGAAATGAATTTTTATTTTTATTTTTTTGACCACAACTTACCTGAAGATTTTAAGCTCAGTTTAATTTTATTTTCCCTGGACAATTAGGTACTTTAATTTGTATTTTTGTGGACCATGCTCGTATACAAATAAAAATTTAGCACGCAATACCAATACGAATTAAAATAAGGGGATTTGGGGTGTCAGTGTGATTAATACTTCTAATTAAAACTGTCGCATTTATTTCAACTGATCTCCGTGTACGCTTATATTTGATTTAATCGTTCGTTCGACGAACATAAACAAATCGAAGCCATATGAAACGTGTGGATTGAAGTTCAAACAGTCTGAAAACGTAATGCTGGGATATATATATAGTACAGTACTAACACAATATTATTTACGGTTTGGCTGATTAATTTCGTTGTTAATTCGCGCAGACTTTAGCGATTTTTGGAAGGGAAGGTAATAGATAATTGATTTCCTGGTATGTGAAGTCTCAATCGGTAAAGAAACACATTTATATAATACTACATTTACTTAATTATGTGTGTTATACTGTTCAATTTGACTTGCCATCTGCATGGAATTGAAGTATGAAAAACAAAGGCAGACGGTTTAGAAGTACTTTTCCTGATATTGTACTTCCACGGCATTGTTGAATTAAACCTTAAGATTAAACTGATCATGACACTTCTGTCAGTTCCTTGCCCATCAAAATAAAACAAAAATTATATCGGATTAATTTTGCCCATACTACGTACGTGCAATATAGCATGGCCAGCAAATCTGGCTACAATTATCAATTATGTATAAAACTAAATTACAGAAAAAATTTTCCCCAATATTCAGATGTCACATGGTGTTTTAAAAATTAACATTTTGGCGCTTACAACGTAATTTTACCCGCTTCGTAATCAGGTCCTTATAGTTTAAATGCCCTTAATTAACCAAGTCCTTAGAAATTTAACCATTAAAAATATTGGTCTCTAGCCATTAACATAGTTCATATTCTTAGAAATCATTTAGAATTACTTATAATTACATTTTACGTAAGTCAAGATAAAACTGTTATAAACAAAATTAACTCTTATTTTGTAAATCATAATTAAAAACTAACCATTTAAATGGGCCCTCAACATATTGGAAAAAAGCGCCACGTGTTGTTGTTGATGTGAATGATATAAGGATGTTAGTAGGCTCGAGCACAACGTACTGGGTAGGCAATTATAGAAAATGAGAATTGGAAATCATAGGTGGTGAGGCCAAAGTCAGTTCCACAATATAATTCTTCTTTGGACTAAAAGTCATGGTACGTAATTTAATTAAACTTCATTGTCGATATACTCAAATAGAACAAGCTTTTGTCAGAGTGATGCTTATTGTTACGTGCACTTATGACGCGGGTTAAACTTTGTAATTAAGCACATTATTTTTCTGACCATGTTAAGGGGCGCTTTTGAAGCTCATCAATGTCAGCATTAACATATATGCAGGCTTATTAGTTTCATCTCTTTTGCACAAGTTTCTTCGTGCTAGAGTTAACGTCAGATGATCAAAAGGGAAAAAAAAACTATTAACTAAATTTGAATTGGTTTGGTCTTTTTTATAAGATCTTATTACTTAAATTGTGCATTTCAAGAAAACACATTTGATGTTCAGACAATCCTTAGTAGGTTCTTATAAAAGGACCAAATAATTTAAATTTTGAGGTTTTATAAATAGAAGCAAATGGAGTACTCAACTAGTGGTGAAATTTTCTTTTTGGGCAAAGCTAATGGTAAATTGATTGCGTTGACTGTACAGTACACTCTCCATTAATCAGAGTGATCATATATATCATGAAGAATTATTGTAAATATATATTGAATTCTAAATCTACCAACCATATATTGGCAGAAATAGATGAAAGCGATGTGCAACATGATTATGAATATAATTTCAGAAAGATAACATGGTTATAATTAAACATGGAATAAAATCGGTAACTATGCAACAAACATCGCATTGCTTAATTATTAGGAACCGCTTCATTTAATGAAGATCAGTGCACCCTAATGTTCAAGGAATTAGGTGTAAGGGACTTATTAATGAAAGATGTTGGAATAACATAGAAATAATTGACGAGTCTTCGATCAAGGAGAGAAGTCCCTTTAGTAAAAACTATACGGTAACCAACAAATGGATTTGATATAACGTGGTACCATGGTCTTAATTAGAATAGTTGAGGAGTTGAAAACGAACAGAATAAGTAAAGCGAGGAATCTGATAAGGAAGTTGCAAGGACCAATAATGGCATAAACAAGAAGGTCATTGAAGCTACAAGCATACACAATATATACATGTAGATATTGGGGGGCAATATATATATCGTGTAAAGCCAACAAAAGTGACTTGCCATCTCACAACCCTAGTTAACCAACCCCCTCCTTTCCTTCCATCTCCTGGTCCTCTCCTCCACTTTCTTATATATCTTCTTCTCCACTTCTCTCCCTGGTGTGCTTGACCCTCAAGAATTGTTGCAGCAAATTGGAGGCCTCCACAATATCTAATACTTTCTGTCATGGAAGATTCTGATCTCGTGGCGATTGCTTCATCAACAGGCGATCAGGACTCCAAGAGTTGTCCTCGCGGTCACTGGAGGCCCGCCGAGGATGAAAAACTCCGGCAGCTTGTCGAACAGTATGGAGCGCAGAACTGGAATTCAATTGCTGAGAAGCTCCAAGGAAGATCAGGTAATTAATTGACTTGGATTGAATATCTTTAATTTCTTCCTTGAAATGAAAAACAAAAGCAAATTAAAAATCATATTTTTCTTCGGAGGCTTTGGATTGAATATTGTTGCACTAGCTAAGTTGAGCAGGATATTATTGAGAACATACTACTGTATATGGGTAGCATATATATGCGAATATAACCTGTATATGTATATATAAATCACATGATCGTATTGATTAATCTTGTTCTGGGATGATTTCCCCGATTACAGGGAAAAGTTGCAGATTAAGGTGGTTTAATCAGCTTGACCCTAGGATTAACAGGAGGCCATTCACTGAAGAAGAGGAAGAAAGGTTATTGGCAGCCCATCGCATTCATGGGAACAAGTGGGCACTGATAGCGAGGCTTTTTCCTGGTCGAACTGATAACGCTGTGAAGAATCACTGGCATGTTATTATGGCACGAAAGCAAAGAGAGCAATCCAAGCAGTTAAGTGGCAAGAGAGTCTTCCAAGATGTTTACAATGATTCTTCCAGTGACACTTTCTCTTCTACTAAAAGATCGAAATCGCAAGATATCTTTGGTTCCCAAACGCTCTTTGACTTCCGGAACATCGATAAGAGTAGAATCATTGCAGAATATTCTCCCTCCATCTCTTTGGCTTCTTGGAATTTCGCATCCATGGCGAAACAAGGGAAAGATAATAATTACTTCAACCCCTGCTTTAACATCTACTTCTCAGAATGTTCAAAAGGGTCGGATAGTTATCTTTACAGAATTTATCCAAATTCCGCATCATCACACGGCAGCATTCTACAAAACTACCGGAAGGTTGTTCCAGGTCGTTGCAGATCAGTCTTAGGTTGTGATGGTGATGATGAGAAACATAGGACAATAAATAATAGGGACTTGACGAATCTATGCGATATCTCACCCACATTCGCAAAGGAGAGAGCTTCTCCGGAACAAGAGCAAGCAGATGATCTCAAAGAAGTTCCCTTCATTGATTTTCTGGGCGTGGGTGTGTCATCGTCGTGACAACAAGTGAAGTATTTATTTAACTTCATATTATACGTATGACTAGTTTAGCTCACTAGCTAGCCTTCGTATCTACAATATGAAGCAGTTAGCATCAGGAGTCTCTTAAAATATATAGATACAGGTAAATTATGCGCATGTGGTTGTGTTGGCTTTTCAATATATTGAGTATGGCAGGTTGGTCATATATAGTTTCCTTTCGGTTTTGTAATTAGAGTGAACGAGAATCGAGCTTTTTGGTATGCAAGATATATTGATCTTTTATACTTTCCATTTTAACTCGTAAGGCATACAAACTTGAGTATGGATCAATGGCATTGTACTTTGACTTTGATTCGCATATTTATTGTGCGTGATTCACAACACTACATAGAGGATGAAGAAAGAACGTAGTGAAGGTTTGCAGATTTCGATTAAATTCTTTGGTTTCTCTCTTCATATATAGCGCAAGTTCTCTTAGAATCTTAAACTACACTAATTAAATGGAAGGCTGTCAGCTGCAGTGAGCATTGCATAGTTAAAACTAGAATATATAATTACTGAATATATCATGCACGCGCATTCTTTCCATTATATGCAGTCCCTCAAAATGCAATAATCAGGCTTCCGGTTCATATAGTGTTTAAATTAAAATGAATTTGAATGGGCTAGTTTTCCCCTTTTCAGTGAATGGGCATATATCTGAATTGAACAAATTAACGAGAAGATACGATATAAACTAGCATTATATTATTATTTATTAACATGAACGGATTTTGGTGGGAGTGGTACCCTACCGTTTTGTCCCTAGCTAGCTCTGGGAAGGAGCCACATTCCTTGGGTGCCTCGCTGGAATCAAACGACTGATGTCATAACTATCAGTTTGGACGCATGCATATGCCAATTTTCCAATAAATATTTAGCAAAATGTCGGAGAAATGTGTGGACACATTACGGAGGAGGAGGGCGGAATATGAACAACCATTTTGATTTTCACATTCTCGGGAAAATGTATCATAGATTTTCAAACCTGTATCATTACGTAGAATAAATTAGACGATGGCATATATAGAAGTGATATTTATATTCTCAGGTTCAATAAGAATCCCCATAGATATTTTTAATTTTTAATTTCAGGCCATTTTAAACCTGCATCATGATCATTATGGAGTTCTTATTTGATAAGCTTGATATGTAATTCAAACTCGAAATATCAAAGTCAATTAGAAAATTAAAATGCAGACAAGAGAATGAGGTTACTTTTTTAGATTATTTCCTTGCATCATAACAAAAATGACATGATATATATATATATATATATATATATATTTAAGTATGGTCTTACACATAGATTGCACTCATCTTAAATGACAAGCAGAAGATATATTCATATATGATGGCTTGAAAAAATTGTCTGTTCATTTGATATGTGGTGGCTGCAACTAAAAAAGTAGGGACAAATCAATCTACGTGATACTAATATTGAATAAAATTTGAAGGTTATGGTTACCAAAACATAAAAACGAAGGCTATGTGCAGTTTAATGGGATGATGAGTATCATATATAAACGAGGGTAGGTGACCGACCTGCTGGGAATCAATGGTAGTGTTTACTTTGCTCTTAAGTAAGCACGAGTTCACTATTCTTTTTTCGGTCTGGTTTTGTTTTTGGTGTTGTCTGCTGCTTCGTATGCCTAAGGTCTAGTTATCGTTTGTTTTTAGCAGGGATGTTCTGTTTGGGTTTGAAGTGCAAAGGTAATGAATATTTTGGAGGGTACGGACTAGAAGAGTCAAAATATTGTCGGATTGCAAATTAATTATTCAACCTGATGATTTTCTAGGTAGGAATGAAATAAAATCCAGTAAGTAGGTTCGACATTTTCATAACCTCTTCCCAACAATTCCGATCCTCAATAATCACAACATTAACGTAATTTCAAAAAACGGAACTATTTCGTTCGGAATATATGGCATCATAGGTTTGTATTGTCAACCGCCATATTTGACGTCCCAGGGTTCGGAACAGATCAAGTTAGACACACCTTTGACTCACCCCCGTCACTTGCTTCATCCGACAATTTGGAAATATATATATGTGACCTATTATTCCTACACATAATAAACCTTCCAGTCAATCTCCTGGGAACATGCATAATTATATATATGTACTTTCTTGTAAGCCAAATACTATTTATATGTTCTGCTATCATCATGTCCTGCAAAATCCCTTTTTCCCCTTAAAGTTAATGGTGCCTTCTTCCATTCTGAGCAATATGAACTTATATCAATATATTTCAGAGAAACTAAACAATAATTTACAGATCCCTGGGAGGAGTATACATCGACGTCCGGACCCGCCACTGATATCCATGCCTTGAATTAACCAGTGCTTCCTATTTTCTGGTGGCTTTAACTAGTGGCTTATCTTAATCCCTGAGTGGTGGTTAGAACAAAGCCATCACTTTTAGCAATTTTAAGCGATTTACCCTCTATAGTCAATGCAAGATTCTTGCCTTTTGACCGCCCAAAAAAAAAGTACTCATAAAAAACAACTGAAAAAGATAACAATTTCATGTCACCCCCGATTTGTGCTGTCCTGTCAAATGCCTCCTTAAGATCTTGGATAACTTTGGTGCAGATTTAGCATATAAAAAAAATATTTTTTTTTTAATGCAATGTGAATACTGCTCCATAACCACATGCCGCTTTTATTAGTTACTGGAATGGCCCTTTTGAGAAACTGAAAAATAAAGGCTCCCTTTAGCAAAGTTGAAAATTCGGCCTTTGCATAATGGACATGGAAGTGTGTGTGGTCAAAAGCTGTTGGCTGCATACTGGTGCGTGCTCGTACAAACTTGAAGATAATACCAAATGGTAAGGGCCGGCATTTCAACGTAGTCTGGTTTGAACTCATGGAGTGGCCCCTTCAGTGAACAAATGGGCTCAGCTATGAAAATTTGCAGTCCATTTAAGGTGGGCTAACTTCGGTCCGACTTGCATAACTCCAGTGCCAAGTGGGTTCTACTGTCAGCCAACGTTTTCTTACTAGCTACACACCTGTACTACCTTCGGTTCTTATTTTTTTAATATAAGGATTTATTTAACTTTTATATTTAGTCATTTTTTCATAGTAGTCCTTATAATAATAATAGTTTTAGCCAATATGCTTAATTAGCAAGGATATTTTAGAAAAAACAACACCTACTTATTACAAGTAACTAACTTAACTAATTTTCTTAATCTATTCAAATTATTCAACTAGCTCTTATATTAAGAATAGGAGGTAATTAATATGGGTGGAAAACATTATAATAATAATAATGATTTATCATTTAAAGTGAATTTGTCGAACGTACTTTTTTAGCTTTGATTATGCATGCACAGCTTTGAATTTGAATGTATACTATGTGTTTCATTATTGAAGTGTCTCTCTCTGTATGGGGTAAACATTGGCATGGCAGACCAAGCATAAAATTAAAAACGGAAGAGGCCTAAGGAGGATCGAGAAGCAGTGGGTGCGAGTGGTGTCTAATCGAGGGCTTACAGGTGGGTGGGGCTACCGACTTTATTAATGGGATTGATTGTGTGATCACTTTAATCTTTAATCATATCCCCTCCCCTCAAAGTCCTTCAATCATGCTCCTAAATTCATGCTACTCTACTCCCCCGGTCTTATTTCGTTCTTTCTTTACTTACTCATTCCCGCACAGGGCTCTCTCATCCGTCAACTTGCTCAATTTTTTAAACCTGGTACTTATCAGTTACCATGAATATATCACCACCACAACTCTTGCTTCTTTTTTTATTCATTCACCCGTACTCTGTCGTTTCAACCACCACACCTCCTCTTTATAAGCTTTAACCTGCGCTCACAATCCAACTCGTGAGATCCAGCTCTGCCATTGCTCTTGAAGCAGCCAGGAGTGAGAGAATGTACGGGGGAAGAGGCAGTGCCACTCTAACTCTGGTGACCTGGGCGGCGCTACTGTGCTTGGTGCTTGTTCAGCTGGAACCCGCAAATGCCGCAACTTACACGGTGGGAGGCCCCGGAGGTTGGGGTTTGAACTCTGATACCTGGCCCAAAGGAAAGAGGTTCCGAGCCGGCGATGTCCTCGGTGAGTACCCGTGTGTCCCTCACAACTTATTTCCCTGTTAATTACTCATATGCATGAAAACTAGTGACGGTTGATGAATGACGGCAGTGTTTAACTACGACGCAACGATGCACAATGTGGTGGCTGTGAACAGAAATGGGTACCAGAGCTGCAGTTCTCCGGCGGGTGCCAAAGTGTTGAGTACGGGGAAGGACCAGGTAAGGCTGGCACGCGGCCAGAACTACTTCATTTGCGGCAATTCCGGCCACTGCCAGTCCGGCATGAGGCTTGCTATTAACGCCCTGTGATTCAGCCCTTACAAATATGTATAATTAATTATCAATAAGATAGAGCATCTTCATAATGTTTCTGTTATATGGTCAGTGTGCGCGTATGTGAGTACTGTAATCCTGTGACATAATCACGTTGTGCGAGTAATGGGCTGGCTAGTTATGGAAGTTTGTTTGTGGTGTATCGGGCAAGGGAGGGTTGGTCCTTATCTATGTCCAAGTGCCGGTGGACTCCATCTGGGTTAATCAGCAATGTATAATATATTTGGGAATATTAGTTCGCTGATCGCCACCGCGTTACAAATTTGTGGTTTGGTTCGCTTTATTCGACTTTCTCAACATCTCTAAACTCGATATATATATTCCCATTTTCATCTTTCTTTTGAACTTAAGCTAGAGCCGCCCAGTTATTCTTTTCTTTCTTTATTTTAATTTCCCCCCTGAATGGCTGTGATACTAAGAACTGATCATTAATGTAGCTCTTACTGGACTTCAAGTACTGATCGCCAGGGAGCTTTTTTCATTTTTAGGATAAGCGAGTACCAACTTCAATGATGCCGCAACCCTTTTCCCCCATTAAAAGGAAGAAAGAGATTGATCGAGCGGAGAGCAGCCTCGGACACCTTTTTTGGTTTTTTCGTAAATAAAAACACAAGCTGGGTTGAATTAGTATTCAAATTTTTAAATGGAGGCAGGGAAAGTTAAACAGACTGGGGAATAAATGAAGGAATAGAGCGGAATGGCAGCAAAAAAACCAGGGTTGGGGCGGGGGCATCTGATGCCATCATTGGTAAGGGATAGAATGATAATCATGTGATAATTAAGGGAAGTGGGATACTGGGATTGGAAAAATTAATGATATACTACCTCCGGTCCTAATTATAAGACCCAATTGACTTATTTGAGGAGATTAAAGAAGTAAGTTAAGTTAGTTATTTGTAATAAATAAGTATTGTCACTTCTAAAATGTCCTTGCTAATTAAGTGTATTGGCTAGAACTATCATTATTAGAAGGACTATCTTGAAAAAAAATACATAAATATGAGAGACAAAATAGATTGGGGTCTTATAATTAGGACCAAACAAAAAGTCAAACGAGTCTTATATTAAGGACCGGAGGTAGTATTTTCTAATCGCAGTTAAAAGCTGTATGTTGAGGAAAAAAGAAGTCCATACCGATTATTCAGTTATTCCCACTTTCAAGAGAGTAGAATAAATGTGGAAGGGCAAGCCTATCATTTGTGGAGGCCATTTATAATAATTATAATAGCAAAGATTTCGTGCTTTCCCTTGCCAGCGCCTATCAGATCTGCACAAATGCAACCAAGGTGCATACTTCTTTCAACGTTTAGACTGGAAAAAAAAAAGAAACAGAGAAAACAGAGAGACACATTTTCATAGCTGGTGAAAGCTACTGCTTCTGATTTTAATTCTAAAACCTCATTTATAATTTATAAACAAGTTTCCATAATTAGAACCGGACATGGTATTTCGCAGTCTTTCTTCCATTGGCATCTCTCAGTGCAGCACGTGGGTTTGGCCTCTTTCATATCTGAAGCTTGGGTATTTAACTTTCATTTTTCTTTCTTTCTTGATGATGATCTTGTGTCGTTCCAATGCCACACTTCAACAGTGGGGCCTGATCCGAAGGCAGCGTCCCGCCGGTGAAGCATGAGAGGATGAGTGCAAATTTCAATTAATGGGCCTCCAGGATAGCGGGTTACGTCTGGCCGGTTTCAGTTAATGGCTCGGATAATGATTTGTTTGAGGCCCACGGCCACGGTTTTATTCCTCCCAAACGCTGCATTCATATTCCATGACATTCATGCATAATCGACGCCAGCCGTGTGTCCCTCTGGATTCGTCTGCGCATATTCTATTACAGTCTCTTTTCTATTCGTTTTTTTTTTCGCTCTTTAAATTTACTTTTAAACTTCACATAAAGTTTTACTCAGATTAATTAATATACGTTTGCTCAATTTTTTAGGTTCTTGTGCGTTGCATGGAAAAGAATAAGAATTTAACTCTTAGAAATATTTAATGCCTAGACTTTTAAATGTAAGAGCACCTTTAATCACGTTATTGGAAAAAGAAATTTTTTCTTTTTTACCGGCAAAAATTTCAAATTCTAAACAGAAGTACAATATATAAGCTGTATGAGTGATGATTTTGCACACAAGTTATGGGCCAAAAAGACAGAGCAAGAGGGTGTTTGGGAATGTTTAAAAGTGTTTCTAAGAAGAATTTTTTCACAAAACGAGATAAAATTTTTTATATATTTATTTCGTAAATAGTAAAAACACTTTTGAAACTATGGTTTGGTTTCTATCCAAACACCTCTTGATACCCAAACCATAAGAGATATCGAGGAAATTTCCAAGAAATGATAAGGTTGACCAGAGGGGACGAAACCCAAGCCTTCCAATGATAATTTCGGTCTTAAGAAAAACAGTGTGAATAGCGACGGCCCAAACTTTTGAATACTCAGTCTTGTCAGTCTTCGCCGACCTTTGAGCAGGGCCGCTACTCCCCAACTTCCGCCAACGCCATCCCATTCTCTCCATAATTACGCCTTTGCCATTATTATTCTCTTCAGGATCAACATTCCGGTTTATTTTCAGCCGCTCTGGCGATATACCCAACCACTGCTGAGTAAAAGCATGCATTTACGCGTCTAGCGTAAAAATTATGCATGCGGTTTGTTTGGACGTGCCTCGTTTGCTTGTCTCTTTGTAGTCCGATATTTCTTTGCTTGTCTCTTTATATATAAAGGTTTTATATTTAAGATAGGAGGAGTAATTCATTAAATAAAAAAGAAAAAAAGGCTACTATGTCTGTATGTATGCGTCCGTGTGGGAGAACCCCTCCAAATTGGAAAATTGCGTATCAAGAGTCACTCTTTACCTAACAATGAAACCAACTAATTGATGTTGAAATACTATCTCTGATCCTTAGTATAAGACGTCGTTCGATTTTTATTTTGATCTTAAATATAGCACTCCAATTTATTCTGTTTTTTATATTTATTCATTTTTCTTCCAAGATAGTTTTTTTAATAATGGTAGTTTTAACCAATTAATTTGATTAATATGAACATTTTAGAAAAAACAATACATATTTATCACAAATAACTAATTTAACTTATTTTCTTCATCTACTCAAACTAGTTAATTAGTTTTAACTCTTATATTTAGGATCGGAAGTAATATCTATAGTCAATCCGAAATGGTCCAACAAGAATTGCTAATACATACTTTACATATACAGTTGCATGTATTCAAATATATCGTGTACAAATGGCATTTTCGGCACAATATGCATGATGTAAGCCGTTTTCCAGGAGCATTAGAATCATTCAAGAAGGAGTGTAGCCAAATTAGTTATTCAATTGAAATCTTGGGTGCAACTTTTCCTGCAAGCTAAGGGAACGATGTTTACAAACCGATTGATTATTTTCTTTTACAAAAGGAAACCAATTAATTAAACCATGAAAGCTAGACAGGAAAAAAATGAGGAAAATTACAAATATTTAATCCTTTTCGAAAATCAAAACTTGTTAAAAGTTTTTTTATTTTTATTAAAAAATTGGAAATAAATGTATAGTCAAGGCATTGAAGAACAAGCCGATCGAGTAAGATTTGCATACAAACCTTTCAGGCAGAAGAGAATGAATTATTAATTTTTTTTTTTTTTTTGCCATTAGAAGAGAATTAATTTATACCTGATGGGAAAAGAGCTTCTTTTCCAAACGAGCCGTTGACTTTTGACTTTTCAATCTAAAAGAAGGGTAATTTGGGCATTTGGCTATTAGAGCGCATTGGAAAATCCAAACTCCGGTCCCAATTTAATTTGCCGTCTACCTTGTGAGTTGACGAAACCTGCTGATGCTCATGTTATGGCGTTGATTTAGTCCTCTCTTCTGCCTCGTCCTCATAAGCAACCTTATCGTCTCACCCTCGGGATATCCCATCCCTGCAGCCATGGACAGAGAACAGGAAGAGATGCAATTTCTGGGCCTCTTCGGCGTCTTCACAGAATCCTTCAAGATCATATCATCATGGCGAAAGATCTTCTCCCAGATCACCCTCACTCTCATCCTCCCCCTCTCCTTCATCTACCTCCTCCACATAGAAGTCACCAACCTCCTTCTACACAAAATCTTCAATAACGCCGAAGAAATGAGCTTCACTCCACTGGGCTCACCCCGCTACGAGAAGCTCTCCGATCTCATCTCCTCCGAATGGGCCACTTTCTGGCTCTTCAAGATCTTCTACTTCACCGTCCTCCTTATCTTCTCTCTCCTCTCCACCTCCGCCGTCGTCTACACCGTCGCCTCCATCTACACCGCCAGAGACGTTACTTTCCGAAAAGTCATGAGCGTCGTCCCCAAGGTGTGGAAACGACTCATGGTTACTTTCCTGTGCGTCTCCGCTGCCTTTATTGCTTATCACATAATCCTATTCTTAGTTGTATTCACATGGGCAGTCACCATCGGATCCACAAAAGCAGGAATCGCCGTCCTTGTGATCCTGATCATATTGTTTTTCGCTGGGTTCGTGTATTTGACTATAATTTGGCAAGTAGCCAGCGTTTTGTCAGTGTTGGAGGAGTCGTACGGGGTTCAAGCCATGAAGAAGAGCAAGGAATTGATAAAGGGGAAGATGGGATTGGCCATAGTGATATTCTTGATGCTCAATGTTACGTTTATCCTAATTCAGGTGTTGTTCAAGGCGGTGGTGGTGACCGGGTGGAAGTTGGGCTCCGTTGACAGAATAGCTTATGCGATGCTGTGTTTCCTGTTGTTGTCGGTGTTTTTCCTGTTTGGGCTGGTCATCCAAACGGTGCTCTACTTTGTGTGCAAGTCATATCACCACGAGAATATTGACAAGTCGGCTTTATCGGATCACCTGGAAGCCTTTTTAGGGGAGTATGTGCCCCTGAAGGCCAGAGATGTTCAGCTGGAGCAATACCATGTTTGACCCTTACTTATTATATATATGTATGCGCGTAATTTACCATTTTGCGCACTTAAAACCCAGCTGTTGGTGTGTATGTCCTGGCTATATGATACATACGGCTTCAAATGGGTTGATTACAAGAACAATTTTGGACCCCATATTTTCTTGGAACACGTTTTCAGAATTATCCATTCATTTTCTCCGCAGATATATTGTTGCTCGCAATTATTATCAATGTAAAATATATATATATATATATAAAATTTACAGTGGCAATTCATTAGTTATGAATAATGCCTTTCCCTTTTTTTTTTTTTTTGAGTAGAGACCAAAATCTCTTCTTAAAAGGTCAACTTACAAATACAAGATCTAACCTCCTGGCTCAGCATCAGCTCCAGAAATTCCCGGTGAAGGTTGGTCCAGAAAACGATCGACATCGTCCATATCATGAGAAGTTCTGGCAAAAAAATCAGCTAACCTCCTACCTTTCCCTTATTTTTGATGCGTGTGATATCCACTCGACGACATTATAAAAAGATCTTAAAAAATTGTACTGATATGTGAGAAGTAAAAAATATAACAGAGTAACTAATTAACGTAGTCCACGGGCTAATAAAGTAAATATAAGAATGACAAGGATCACGACATTTTTTGATAAAAAGAGAGGGGAGCAAATTTTAAAGGAGAGGACAAGAGAGATTTTAATATTAAGTTATTTGGTTTGGAAGAGAATGGGAGGGAACATAATATTAAATTGGGATTATGACTCTATCAAATTTAAGTTTTCTATTAATAATGTTTTAGAAAACACAAACTAGTTACCCCACAATTCATCCTCCCTAGTTTGACTATATATTATTTGGTTTAATAATAAAACAGGCCTTGTCCCCCTATATTTTATTAATTTGTCGATCCTCCCCCTAATGAAATGAACAGTGAATTACACAAACGATTGGGAATAACTTGATTATTATAAATGTTGTGTGCATATATCCCTTGACTCTACCGAGGGGAACATCTCCTCCCTCTTGCCTAAGTCCTAACCAAACCAGATAGACAAATAAACAGTCTTGGGCTCTTGGCTATGAATTAGTGGCCATGGTTTGCATCCACGTGTCACGCGTGGTAGACGCCGCAGAGACGTCAAAAGCCAGACGCAAACAAAGCAGGGAAGACTATTCATACCGAGGTCGTTTCAATTTATCACCCACCACCTAACTCTTTTTATTTTTACTTTCGGTCTTTAATTAATATGAGTCATTTATATTTATAATGGTGTACTAAGAAATACATTAAACTAGCAAAATTACTCGAGTCATAAACAGCCTTTCGTAGTCCTCGAGCCGATTTAACACAATGCTTTTGTATCCTATGATAACATCAAATTGACGCCGTCTTCCGTCACCAAATTCAACTGCTTTATTTCGGATGTCTCCGATCGCTGGGTAAAGCCTACACAAAAATCGTACCCAATTACCAATTTATGTTATAATCTAATTAGTTTAGGTAAAATAAAATATCTAATGAGACGAAGCTCAACATCTCTGTGTTTAGTTGCCGTTATCGTGCCTTTCTTGATTCTGTCCACGCAGCCAACATCTATGGTTGGAAGACGACCCGTTGAGAATTTGAGAGAAAAAGGCCCCTCCATTGGCCTGCAAATCCCCAAACTTGATCTTGCTCATCAGCAATAAGCCATTTTATCTATGGTTTCCACTGGAACGTACTTGTTCAGCAATAACGATAATACATTTTAATTTTTTTTAGCTGCGTGTATTACTGTCTAACCAAGCGTATATCGATTTTCAATGATATACCAAATGTTCAATATAATTATTTCATTATAGTGCCATCCCTATTCTCTTTTACCAAAAATACCCAAGTAACCAAAAGCAAAAACAAGCCCTCAGTAAAGAAGAGCATTTGCTTTCGAAATTATAAACAAAACTTTTTTCTTATCAAAATTATAAACGTAGTTTTCGCCCAACAAAATTATAAACGCAATTGTCGCCCAACCAAACTATAAAACGGAACTGACTATGCTCCATGCATTGAAAGTCTGAAACTGAATTTGAATTCGGAAATTCGCAAACGAAAATATGGAGGAAAAAGGGCCCACAAAAAGAAAGGGTGGTCGTGGGGCGCTTTTGACTTTTGAGCCTCACACGGGTGTTGCCGTGTTGGCCTGGGTGGGATGTCCTGAAAGGCCATTTGAATATAATAACTTGGGAACGACAAACGCCAACGCGGTTCTATGGTGTAGTGGTTAGCACTCTGGACTTTGAATCCAGCGACCTGGGTTCGACTCCCGGTAGGACCTTTTGCAATTTTGTCAATAGCTTTTATCAAAAATCAAAGAACAAATGCAATATCTGGCGGGAAAAGTCGAAAAAAATCCTGCCAATACATACATAACAGTTGCCACCCCACAAACAGGCCAACGAATATGATTAGCCTGTTAGGAAATAGAAATCCATTCGTCGCTATGATAGCCTGCACAGATGGGCCAAGGCCCACTGACAGCCCTGCATTGTGGAAAAGTGGCAGTTAAAATACTGTTTCCTCCCGCGAAAAAGCGGTTTCGGCGAATTAGAATATTTGTGAGCAGAACTGGAAAGGCGAAGTGAGGCTCGTGGGACTCCCCTGTCTTCTTCACTCCCCTCTTTCTTCATATTCCACTTTTCTCTTGCCTTCTCTTCCCCCAAAACACTGCCCATCTCTTCCTTTCTGTTTTGAATTTTGATCCGCCATGGTTAAGGATACTGAGTATTATGATATCCTGGGGGTTAGTCCCTGTGCTTCCGAGGTCGAAATTCGAAAGGCCTATTACCACAAGGTTTGGATCTGATCCGCATCCCCACCCTTTAATTTATCTTTTATTGCGATTTGATAATTAACTGGCATTTTCCGCTCTGCTCGATTTCCCAATTTCAATACTCATAAACTGAGCATTTTAGGTGGGTTTGCTCTTTATGAGATTCATGTTTGCCAGAGTTCCCTTCAATTTAAGAAATCATGCCCCCCCTGTGTGTTGTTACTGCTGCAGGCAATGCAAGTTCATCCGGATAAGAACCCAAACGATCCTCAGGCTGCTCAAAAGTTTCAGGCAAGTTTGCTGCATCAAAGTTCCCATCCATTGATTTTATAAGTGATAATTCGTGGATGAAGTAATGGAGATATAAGACAAGAAAATATCCTTTTATACGGCTCCTTATCATCGAGACACCCTTCTGATGTTGACAGGTTTTGGGCGAGGCTTACCAAATTTTAAGCGATCCAGTGCAAAGGAACGCATACAATCAAAATGGAAAACATTCCGTGTCTAGGTACAGATTATATGCCATGTTAAACTTCTTCTGTAGCATAGCTTTAGATGGTACGACCATTAATAGATTGAAAATTCGCTGTTGATTGAAGGTGGACAACTTTTGCTTTGGACTTTGATTCCGCTGCTAACTTTGCTGCGCATCAAATTAGACATGACTAACTTTTGAAAGCAGCACCTCACGTTATGATTTTCTTCTTGTCATAGGCTTTATCATTACAAGATAGAGATGCAAATGCTGAAGTCGCACTCGTAAATAATAGCGTTGCGATACAGAGCCATGATAGGCCTCTTGTTTAATACAATTACTTTTATAATATTCGAAGAATTATTTATAGATTGTTGTCACTTAATTAAGAAGCAATTTACACTTTTTCATACGCGAAAGGGAGGGAGGAAAGAGAAGAACATTTTCTAAAATGAATAAAAGATGTTAGGTAAAAAATATTAAAGTTTATAAGAACGAAAAGATCATCGATATTTATATATGGACTCTCTTTTATTGTCCTCAATCATTATATTCCTTGAAGATGTTTTCTTGGTTGTCTTTTTTTTTTTTTTTTTTGTGGCCTGAAAGTTAATGGTCTCTTTTACAGGGAAGCAATGCTTGATCCAATGGCCGTCTTTGCCCTGCTTTTTGGAAGTGAATTATTTGAGGATTACGTGGGGCATCTAAGTGCAGCATCAATGACTTCATCTGAAACGGCCGATGAAAGTGAATATCCGGATAAAATACAAGAAAAGTTGAAGGCAAGTATGTGTAGTAATTCTCTGTGTGTGTGTAACGGTAACACAACAACAACATCCTTAACATTCATGTTGCATCATTTAGTGATATATTTATTCTTTTAACATAATAGGTAGATAAATGTAGTTTTAGAGATAAGATGACAATGAGATTGGATGTTAGTTACGTTTTATATCATGAATTTGAGTAAATCTCGTTTGGCTTATAGTGCATGTATGATTTGCATTGCTGTGGTGTAGGCTGTCCAAAGAGAAAGGGAAGAAAAACTAGCAAGTTTTTTAAAAGACTTCCTTGATCAATATGTCCATGGTGATGAAAAGGGGTTCTTGCAGCGAGCAGAATCCGAAGCCAAACGACTTTCTAAAGCAGGTTAATGAAACTTTCAGCTATCTGTTCCTTTCAACTAAGGACCTAGGGAAAGTGTTCAGAATAATATGCCTTTGATAAATAAGTGACACAAATAAAAAGTCATATCATAATAACTTCTTGCTTATTCAAGTATGAAATTGTTTGAAGCTATATCATTGCCATGTTATATTGGTATAACAAATAATTTACATTGACTTTGATCGTAGATTTTGGACTTGATATGTTACGCACCATCGGCTATATTTATTCAAGACAAGCGGCGCTAGAATTAGGCAAAAAAGCCATTTATCTTGGAGTGCCTTTTTTGGCTGAATGGGTTCGACATAAAGGACATTTCTGGAAATCACAATTCACTGCTGCTAAAGGTATACTTAAAAGGTCATTGTGATTTAATTTGTGGCGCCTTCCTTGAACATCACCTATCCCTCTTCAAAATTTTGTTGTAACTTGAAATCTAATTTTGTTGGGCTAAAATATTTAGGTGCATTTCAGCTGCTGCAGCTTCAAGAAGACATACACAAGCAATTTAAAATCGATGGTAGGGGCCCTGAAAATGATTTTGAATCTCATATTCGCCTTAATAAGGACACACTAATGAATTCTCTGTGGAAGTTGAATGTAGTAGACATAGAAGTGACCCTGGCACATGTCTGTCAAATGGTGAGTTCATGACAACTTCCAACTCTCTCTAATAGCTGTCCTTGATAGCGATTGTAGTTGACGGATGAAACTGGTTTTTTGCTTGCCATCTTACACGTCTATTATCCTGATGATGAGGAATTGTTAGCTACTAGTGACAGTTATGCCTAGATGCTATTTGATGAAGTGATACTTGTGGATATGAATTTTGTCCCAAGGGTAGAAATTTGTCGCCTTACTTGGGTCCAAAAGAAATGAAAAGGGAAGGAGATTTTTATCCAGTTTTCTAAATATTGCTGCAGGTCCTGAGGGAAAACAACGTTAAGAAAGAAGAACTTAAAGCCCGTGCTACCGCTCTCAAGATTCTTGGAAAGTTATTTCAGGTGAACAAGTTAGCCACTAATCATCATGTTTTTTTTTTTCTCCCGCCAACACTAATCATCATATATTACTGCTTAATTAAAGGCTACAACTTACCCTGAATTCTGAATAAACACTACAGTCCCATGTGTGTAAAGACAAGCCATAATTGAGGTCGGTGAGAAATAGTGTCAGTTTAAAAGTAAAGAAATGTTGAGCCTTTTTTTTGTTTTTTAATCTCAGGAAAGGAACTCAAAAGGAGGAGAAGCATCGAAGAAGAAAAATGCGGCAGATTCTGAGGATGAAGGAAGCAGTTCAGATTCTTCAGAGGATGATGAATCACCGAGAGCAGTTTCCTATCGCACGCCCTTTCTCACTCAGGCAATGTCATAATCATAGAATTACCTAAAGCTAAATAGATCAAGTGCACTCGCATATTCATTGTAGAAACTGTGATGACGCAAGCAGGGGGGACATATTCATTCTCTCAGCTGTGTTTGTGCAGGGTATAGGTAGGCTGTTCAAATGCCTGTGTAATCCGGCATTTGATGTGGACGACGAGGAGATAGTTTACAGAAGCAAATGATATGCAGATGAATGATTGAAGCGTCAACACGGCTCTCGCTTGTGGTTGTGGGATGGTAAGTCCATAATACTGGAAGGATAGGCCTCCTGTTCCCTGTTAAAAAGTAGCCTGGGAAGACGATGTATTGGTGCGAACCATGAATAACCATGTTTTGTGCTACTTGATTTCATAACAACGCACCACCTTCCACCAACAACTGTTTGTCACTCAAAGTTCTCATTGTTTGCCCTCCTTTCCTTTTCTTTTCGGGGTTAGAATTTGTATTTCACGGCAACTTTTCTTCGGGCTCGGTTTAGAGAGGTCCAAGACTACAGAAACAAACTCCTATACGGTGTACACGGTATATTTCAATCACACTTCGAAATTATTAACAGCTGTTAATCTTTTTTCGCCTGAATTGAGAAATACTACCTCTCATTCTAAATATAAGAGCTAGTTGATTAATTTGAATAGATTAAGAAAATAAATTTAGTTTTTTATAATAAATAGATATTAGCTTCTTAAAATATTCTTGCTAATCAAATATATTGGCTGGAACTATCATTATTAGAAGGACTATTTTAGAAGGAAAAAAAGTATAAATATGAGAGAAAAATGGATTAAGTTTTATATTTAAAGCTAAAATAAAAGTCAAATAACATTTTATATTAAATATTGGAGGTAGTATTACTCAAAACCGCTTGATATTGTTCTAATCTATAACCCAATCCCACACGTCTCCCGTACATATTCAATTCTGCTTCTGTGTTTTAACCACAGGTAATGATTGCTTTAATACCTCGGTGCTCCAATGGCATGTCAGGTAAGACGTAGTAAACTAAAAATCTTAACCAGTGTATTTAGTTAACCCCGAATCACTCACAACTCGAACAAAATAAAGCTCCTAACATATTTATGGGGAGAAAATCTTCCACGTACATCAGCCCCAAAAATCTTCCAGCCATCGTCTTAAATATTTTTTGCGAAAGTTAATGATTAAATACGTAAAGTTTGGACCCAATCGCTTAAATTATTCTCCCAAACCTTGATGACCTTGTCTCTTTCTCCCACTCATGCATTTTCTTCCCCAAATGTTATTGAGGGATGGCTGGTATCAAGTAAAAACATTCCGACAAAGCAAAACATAATTCGAGACAAAACTTATACATTAAAATCATTTTAAAAATTATGATTTATTTTTTATCCAAATACTTCCCAAATTCACATAGAACTAATGACCAGCTGTAATACTAGTACATATTCTTCTGGTCTTATTTATAAGTTACTTCCAGCATTTTAAACCTACATCATGATTCATGAAGACTTCACCAGTTCTATGCATGAACAATTGCTCCCGAAATCCAAGACTGGATTTTGAGTCTGAGGAAACTCTTCTTTGAATTGAAAGGTTCCCTGCAGTTTTGCCTTTTGACGTGTCTCCAGTATCCCTAAAGTAGGATTTTACGGATCTTCTATGGAGCCACTATAAAGAATCACTGTGGCCTATAAGTAATAACAGACCTAAACCATGGATTAATCTATACAGAAAGTGGCACAGTAATAGTAATAGTAAAATGCACACAGCCCATGTTTGGCAATTGGCACGTGACACTTCGTTATTTGATCAGGATACATAACGTGATGATTATGCGTCTGGCAGGCAAGCAAGCGAAGAGCTTCAATTCAAGAACCTTTCCAGCCAATTACCGAAGAAGAAGCCTGTTTTAGCCCATCCTCGGTGGTTCTCCGGAGCTTTGGCATTGCCTCCCGGCATCTTCTTCACATTGATCATCATGCTTTCCCCTATCTCCCTCCTAAGAGCTTCGATAATCTTGGTGTCCACTGGATTCCCAGAAGCATCTCTCACATAAAACACGTTCACCGCTTTCTCACCTATCGTTGACACCCCTGCTCTGCACACTGCTAGTCCATTCTCCCTCAGAATCCTCGTCACTTCTGATAGCAGACCCACTCTATCCTTTGCGCACAGCTCCAGGCTGACTCCCTGCGTCCGTTATTTCATATTCATTTGTCAAATCTCTTCTTTTTCTTCCATATATAAAATGTCAACTAAAACACATGACAAATAAGACTGCTAAAAACCATCTCGAAAAACCAGTTTTCTTGTCAGAACACGAAAGACTAATTCAGAGTTGTTGAGATTCCAAGTTCAACTCCCGTCTTTCTTCATTGAAAGGGTTTATTGAAGCAAATGGAAATTAATTATAAAGTCCCCATTACCTCGCTTACTCTTCTTTGAATAGCAGCTTCAATACATTTGATGACTCTTTCTTTTTCTCCTTCGGTATCAAGTGTGCATCCATCCATGTGCCGGATAAAGTATTCCTACAGGTTAACAAGAATTGCAGAGCTCAGTTACTCCAATAAAATTTTACCGATCTGCCCAGAGAAGATTCGATTACATAACTGAATACATAGAATATGTTACTGCATATATAAGAACACAATATACCTGGGATGCATAAGGAGCATCTGATGAAATTGTAGCATGGAAAACAACATATTGCATGTCAGTGAGGGTGCAAACAATGTCAAACATCAGCTTGGCTCGATCTTTGCACCTAACACTAACAATTGAGTACCCTTTCTCCTCACAATGCTCTATTGTGATTTGTGGCCTGAAAGAAGGAGGATAACTAACGTCAGTTGTCACCACAGCACATTCGTAGTCACGATCAGCAAACAACATTTGGTGAAGCCGTCGATCCATATGGGTGAAACCCATGGAGAAACTGGTCCGAGCCACTTTGTCATCATCCTCGCATCCACGTAGGATATGGTTGAGCTGCTCCTCCATGAGAGATAATCTGTTAGGAGCATCCGCTGATCGGCTTGTAGCATCATTGACATAAAGAACACATGCTATTCGTCTATTATGAGTCCAAACCTCAGCTGCAACCACGTTAATGTGGAGGCTAGCAATCACAGCTGAGATCTCAGATAAAAGACCCGGGCGGTCTCTGCCAATGAGCTCAATAGCAGTATGATCACCAATAGAATGCATGCCAACCTGTTTGCCTGGCCAACTCTTCGCCCCCTCCTTGCTCTGGCCCTTGGGTCCTAGAGCCTATTGTAAGAAAAACTGTTAAGAAGTAGCTCTTAGTACTTGATATGCTCAGTTTAATTATGAGTGCTCATTAGTATGAAAGTCTGATTGCTAACTTCTCCATCCACAGCGGTATTTGCGGCACTTTTCACAAAATATAGATTTTATGAGTAACATCAGTATAAGATTTCCTTCTGCAAGAGTATGGTCGTATTAGTTTCTTTCTAACTTTAAAAATGCATTTGACTCAAAAATACAGCCGTATATCCACTTTTAAATTCTCGCGAAACCATGCATCTGGATTTTGCTGCCACCTATGCTTTTTAACAAACAGAAATTATATTGCCCCTTTCCTGGGACACTGATATATCTTACCTTCTTTTTTTAAAAAGAAAAAAAGAAAAAAAAAACTTGAAAAGAGAATAAGAAAATTATGATAATATATCAACGCATAACTTCAATAAATTTGATTTCTCCAGTGATTATATCACTACCATAATTGGGTCTAGTGGAAGAAAACACTACATAAACATACAAGGGCAAGAAAGAGATGTACCTTCTCTATGAAATCAATGGTTTTGCTGTCCGTTATCTTCTTTCCCTGCTGATCCGTGACATGAAATACTGTTAATGCAAACAGTTCAGACACATTAATTACTTGATTCAGGAGAGAAGTGCTTCGACATGTGCAAAATTGGAGCTTACCATCCATGAACCATCCACCATCAGAAGATATGTAGGCTTTAGTGATTATGAGATCAAGGTCAGTAAGAATTTGTACAACCTCCAGCAGAATTCCTGGTTTGTTAACACTATCAACCTGCAGTATTTTTTTTGTTTTGAAAAAAATTATGTGTGTGAGAGAGAGTTCATTAGTTGAACTGATGATTACACTAACTTCTAATTTTGCCAACAGATTTTCATGAGTGATATGCCTTTTCTTTTTATTGCAAAACAAGTGATTCTTTCAAGATTAATTGTGAAGAAGATGATTCTATGATGATGAAATTGGTGTAGAACTTTAACATGCGCAACTTCTTCTAAGGACAGAAAAACTTCTATTGACCATGTAGCAAATGTCCGTGTAGCAGGGTTTTAATCAATTCAATAAGATTTCAGTTCAAAATTTCTAATGCTATTCTATATGAAGTATGAGCTTGGATAACTGAAAATAAAAGAAAGTATTGCTAAAAGGGCTATTTCTTAAAAAAGAAAAACAGATTAATCATATGCAATGCAGAAAGCAGCATCATTCACAATAGGGCAAGCTAATAATGGAAGAAAAGAACAATTGTAGGGCCTGAGTTTGTGTACAATAAAGGCTGGGTTTCTTCACAAGCAATGATGGTAAATCACATCACAATAAGACAATGAAAATGCGTAAGTCAGGAATCTGAAAAATCATACCTTGATTAAGGTACAATCATGACAGGTAGCATTATCTACAGAGACCCTGAAACCACAAATAGATAAACCCATCAACAAGTTACTTGTTGGTATTAGAAATCCCACCATAAACCACAATTCCGCTACTTGTTTAACTGCTGATTTTGGGATGCTATTGTTTAACCTCAATGTTATAATTCTTCTAAGCTTTTTCCAAAGTTTGTTTTTTCTTTTCTATTCTTTTACGGCTCAATTAATTCATCAAGGTCACAGTGACACTGCAAAATCTCCCTTAATATTCATGAATATTACCATTTAATGTTCTTCCCAAAATAGGCTATTTAACTAGCAATCTTCTTTAATATTATATATAATGCAAAGGAAAATAAAAGTGAACCTTGGAGGATTGATTCTGTTGCTGAAATTCTCATACTCAGGATCAAAATATGGCCAACAAACTGTTGCCATTTAAAATATAACTTCTCCTCCTAACGAGAAGCCTCACTCTCCCTGCATCAAAGTGCAAAACTCTTATCTGATTAGAAGAGAGGGAGAAAAAAAAAACCATTATTGTCCAATTCCTAATCTCTAGATGTTACACCGCATGAGTGCGGTGCGTTAGAAGAACAAAAGAAGAGAAAGTAACACAAGGCCAACTATTTTGTACTGAACGGTGCAGTGAAGAAAACAATACATTGAGGCATATTAGCACATGCGTCGTTCTTGACCGGATATCCGCATGTGTGTTGGAGTTGCAGTTTTGCCATATGATTGGAATAAGGTTCCAACAAGCAGTTTAACCCAAGGCTCGTGTAAAAGCAATACTTCGGCATATAATATTTGTCTGACCGTGAGCGAAAGAGGAAAGAAGACGGTGTGTTTTCGCGTTGTTTTTGTTCTATAACTTATAGTTTTTTTTTAATTTAAATTTTAGTCAAATATTATTATGGGTTAATTAATCCGCAAGTCTTTATAATTTCAACGAATTTTGAATTAGATCCCTATAGTATTTTTCTTTTTATCAGGTCCTTATACTTTTATTTTTTTTTAATTAGGTCCTTGTATTTATTTTTCTTTTAATTAAGTCCTTATAATTTCACTAAATTTTTAATCAGGTCCATGTAGTTTTAATTTTTATTTATTAATTAAATATAAGTTTAATTAAATATATTAATACTGAAATATAAAATATTAATAATTAAATTAAATTAATAATTATGTAATAAAAAAGTAATAGAATTAATTAATTCATGAAATTTTTTTAGAACAATTAATTTTTTTGCTGAAAAAATTAAAATCATTATAATAATTCAATATCTTTAGAATATTATTGTTTATAAACTAATATTAAATAATATATACTATTTAATGTTTATATAATAGTACTATTAGAATTTATAAAATAAAGAATAAAAAATTCAGTGACTTAATTAAAAATAAGGTGAACTTATAAGGACTTGATAAAAAGAAAAATAAATATAAGGACCTAATTAAAAAAAGTAAAAGTATAAGAACTGATAAAAAGAAAAAAAACTATTAGAAACTGATTTAAAATTAATTAAAACTATAAGAAACTGTGGATTAATTATCCCTATTATTATAAAACCTCGCTTGCAGGATCTTGCTCTAGAGGGAGGATATGTTAAAACAGACTTGGTTTATAAATAGAAGTGAGATCACACGGATCTGGACTTTTTTTTTTTTTGGGCCAGCAGCATGGATCTGGATCTGGATTCGGCTCGGCGCCACGTGGCTGAACCTCAGCATCCCAAAAAAAAAATTAAAAACTCAACCCGTACAGTTAACGGGAACACGGAAGGTTAGGTAGAGTGGCTGGCCTGAGAGATCCTTTTCTGAGCGAAGCGACGGGACGAGAAATCGGAGAGAAAAATGAGAGATGTGGAGGGTCGGCCAACGATGAGGGCGCGAGAAGCTTCAAGAGGACGTCAGAGCGTGATCCATGAAAGGGGCGAGAGCTGGAGAAGAAAGACAGCGAGAGAGCCTCAACGATGGTCTATACGACATGAGCAAATTGGAGAAGAGAGAGATGCTTTTAATGGGAGAAGAACCTCGATAGTCATGTGCTTCTTGGTTTGCGTGGTTTGAAACCCAGACTTGTTTTCATCTTTGGTTATTGCCATCACCGTTCCCGTTCTCAGTCCAAACCCATATTTGATTTCTTCGGCTCGACTTGGTTGGTTCCAGAACGACAGAAAGTTAGAAAGGAACTTTCCATGAAATGCCTACTCACCCTCTTTACTCCTCTAATGTGCATTGGCCGTTGATTAATCGGATTCTTGTAAATGCGATACGTGTCGCTCGATTGGCTGCAAGGGTTCACTCGTCGCACGGAATCCGGATCCGTATCTCTTTTGTTAATTCGAGTACTAAAACAGGGGAATCTGCTTTTCTTCTTGGCCTTGGAACGTGATTTCAAGAAAAAGGTTGTGAATAGAGAACGTGCCGGGTCGAGTCGATTAGGAAATGCGTGGTGTGAGAAGGAGGCGGAGAGAAGAATAAAGAATTATGGCATCACCCCGTGAAAGAAGACATTTTCGGTGTTAAAATTTTAGAAAGGTACAAAAGATGAAAACTCGTATGTTAAGCCTTACACGTAGTAGAAGTGGGAAAGCCTCCACCTTTTTCTTTTTCAAGCTGAGCAGAAAAGGCATAATCAAATTTTCCAATAAGATGGTTCATCCCACTCCCACTGGGTGTTCATATCAGTTTTCTGATCAGGTTCCGTATTACAGGAAAACATGGTAGAAGGAAGGGGAAGTGTGTGAGCACTCGTGAATCGTTCTAATTTCTAATGCGACGGGAAAACCCCCCCCCGGGGGGGGGGGTAACTGAGAATCTCACTAAACCGACCAGAAAGGGGTCTAATGTGATGTAAAGATTATGATTCCAACTTTTAACAGAATTCTTCGGATTCTTTGTTTGAGGACTTGACAATCACACACGTTACATCGAAGATGGCCTAGTCGTCGTCACCAAATTGTCTCCAAATAATTATTTCAAGATTTGGAAATCTCACCACCGAAGCGCCACCCCAGCCTTGATCACTAAACCAACGCCCATGTTTTGTCCACCGTACGGCAACGATACTTCCAAAATTCAATCGATTTTCTCATCAAACAATGGACCTCAAGTAAATATGCCCGAAGTGTGTGTGGGTGAGTGTGTGTTTATAACAAGATAATAGATTTAAATATGTTTTTATCCATAAAAAACAGTCGTGTACTAATTAACGCAAGTACTTGCCGAAGACAAAAAAAATTAGTTTGTTCAGCTAGGTCTAGGTGTAGCATGCATGAAGTTTATGAATGACAAAACTTAGTTATGAATATGGATTTTGCATTTGATATTAATATAAATTATATTAAAGTCATGCCAAGGGACAAGTGAATATTGACGCATTAGTTGTGATATGACGAACTTTTGGAACAAATATCATATGGACGCAATTTAAATTGCTGATAATCATTCCAAAAGTAGTAGAGTAGCAGAGGACAGAAATATGGCTCAAGAAGCATATGTATATAGCGAGCAGAAAAAGAGCGGAGTGGTGATGAAAGAGGGAGAAGATGGAGGGTGGGGCAAAGCAAAGAAAACAGGAAGCGTATCCGAGAAATTAGAAGATAGAACGTATGGGAGAAGACCGTGAATGGAAGACGGGACATTGAAGATTAGGTTAGACGTAAGCCAAAAGCAGAAGAGATTTGATGAAAGATGGAAGAAGATGAAGGATATAAATATATATATATATATATGGGAAATAAATAAAAGAAGAGACAAAAACGAGGAATACCTTGGGACTCGACGATGAAGAAGATAAGCTCTCAACCTCTAGCCAAATTACGCCTTTACATCCTGAAAACAGAGACAGGTATGCAGGTATCCCCTGTTTCTGTATATATAAACACACAGCCACGCACAGAGAGAGAGGGATAGAAGCAGCGTCAAGAGGGGGGCTTTCGACGTCGGAATCCCACTCACCTCAACTCACTCCCATTCTCTGTGTAACCAAAATTTAAAAAAAAGAAAGAAAGGAAAAGCAACTTTTCTCAGAGAACGGGTAATGGGGGAGTGACCTTGTGGAAAGGGTCAGGGGAAGCTCAGACATAAATAAAGAGGTTTTGCGTTTGTGGGAGTGGAAAATGACATTGACGGCCCCGCTTGCCTTTCCAATACGGGACCTGCCCCTTTTTATCAGCATTATTATCATTAATTAAAAACGAAAAACTCACATGAAGATTCCAACTTTACAACTCATCAATCCAATCTAGTTCTGTATCCAATCAATCACTATATTTCCAATAACAATTCCTCTAAGCCTCCCTCTTGTTACTGTTCACCAAGCCGCACAATCAAGAGGTCTAGTTCATCACTGCACAGTCTTTCATTTAAAAGCTGGAGTATATATGGTGCTGTTAAGAAATGTTAATCAATCTTTAAGAATGTGTAGAGCAACTGATTGCAAATCACCGCACCTGGCAATAATATAACTGATGCGATTATGTTGGATAGATCAATACCTAATCAAAATGTGTCATCAGAGAGTAAACGGTTAATCTGCATGGGATGAAAGTATTGCTCTTTTAAAAAAATTAGTTTGAAAAGATTGAAGATACGTATGAATGAAGAAGGGGATGATTACTAATGTTATATACACGCAGTTACTTGCATTCATGAAAGTATAAACTTTTGGAATACGCTACGTGGGCCATCCTTCGTTTCATGATTTTATAATTAGTTTTCCTTTCTGAGCATCAAAGCACTGATCGAAACTCCAAATCGGAACAGTCAATTAATTGAGGGAGAATACAATTCCCACTTGTGATCTTTTATGAAGAAGAAAGGATGATTTTTGCTTAATTAAACGTCTAAGAAGGAATCAGGATGGCAATATTGGAAAGCCATACATGGTGGTTGAGATTTGAGAATGTTGATCGCGTCTTGGAGTTCACTCCCTCTGGCTTAAAAGAATCACATCGCCTGATGTTTTGTAATTTGTGATGAGATTCACTTACTCATCATGATCATTTCATTGGATATTGTCCCTTGCTGTTTATTCTGAAACGTCCGTTCGGAATCAGGTGATTAATATATTATTGATCATGATGTTCATTTCATAGGATACCCATAAAGTCAAATCCCACGCAGCGTTCAATTTGCTGTGTATTAATATATGCAGACATTGTGATAATTACTAATACTTTCCCATTTCATCTTCTTTGATGCGTGGGTATTTTTCATGGACGATACGCAAGAATTAAGCAAGACGGCTTCCTTCCTTTATCTAATCAAGTTTGGAGTCTTAATAATTTTTTGAATATAATGGAATCTTAATAATTAGACTATCAGTTCTCCGCCATTTTTCTTAAATTTTTATCACTGCCCACGTCCAGCTCGATCTTGCAATTTGAAATACAGAAATAGCCCCATATGGATTCTTCAAGAAATTATTATTTCAATTTTTTTCATTTTATCGCACACGAAATGCAGTTGGAATTAAAACTTAAAGTCAGCAAAATCGAACCAAACCCAAACAAATTGAAATTTGATTTTAGCTTGAATTTTTTTAAGATAATTAGATGCAAAATCTAAAGAAGCCAGAGCAAATCGAATGATACTTTTTTTATGGCAAATCGATTTTACTTTAATATGATCTTCGGTCCTAATTATAAGACCTCACTTGTAGACTACAAATGAGGTTTTATAATTAAGACCGGAGGTAGTATTATATATATAACCAGAGCTTGTGATTTGCGTAATGGACATTTTTTCTTCAACGATTTTGTTCCCAAACAGATTAACTTAATTTCTACATAATACACGATTTGCTCTGATTAAAAGAAAAAAAAAATTGGTTCAGTTTGGTCTTTAAAATTTGATCCTTTTGATATCTAGTTGATACGAAAACTATTGCCCACCTGCAGTTGGAAATGGAAACATGGATTATATTCATGCAATTGGAATTGATGCCGTGTTGGGATAGATTTCAACTTTGGATTGAGACTAGAGAGCTGTGAATTTGTAGAAGGCATAATAATTATGGATGATCTGTGTTCAAAGCGTGGTTTAATTGTAATGAATTAAATCATTAAACATAATTATGAATGAATGTATGAAATTGTTAATTGTGGGGACATGCATGGACAAGGAGGAAGTGGGAGGAAAGATTCCGTATCCTTCACCGCAAGTGGAGGGGCCAAATCCACCACACATTCTGCCACATCGCTATCAGATCACCACCCGCCCCTTGTTATTAATTAATCTTCTAACTCAACTTCTACTCCTCCTTCACTCGCCTCCTTCCATTGTCTTGTTCTTGTTATCTGCCATCTCAAAAATATTTTTATATTGTGTACTAATATATATAGATATGTAGGTGGCTGTGTATATACGGATCGGCGTGCCCCCACTAATTTTCCTTTCCTTCTACATCGAATGGAACCACAATTACTTTCGTTTTCAATTTGATGAGCTCCACTTTGTCTTGATTTTGGATGGAGAAACAACAGGCATGCATTATTTGTCCCGCCAACGACAACGATTCTGGTTCAGAAGCTCCCCTGTCCTTATTTACACACCAACTTGACAGGCGAAGAAGAAAGCGACTGGGGTCTCAATTATTTGATTGGGACCTCCGTTTTTTTCCTTTTGCTGGTCCCTGTCCTTTCCCCTGATCTGTGCATGTACATGCCTAATGCTTCTACCTTCCATCCCTAAGCGCTCAACTTACAAGACCAAAAAAAAAAGAAGCAATAGAGAAGCATAGATTTACTCTGATATATAAATAGTCTCCCTGTCTGTCTGTGTGTGTGTGTGTGATGTATGGACATGTTAGGTGATAATAGTGAAGTGGTCGTTTTGACAGTGAGGAGTTGAGTGGAAATGAAAATGGTGGGAGCCTCGTGGGGGAATTAGGTGGATACTGTGAGCATATGGAAAAAGGAGAGAGGGAAAAGGCAAGACAGGGCTGGCGGTTCATGGCATAAATTGGCGAGTGCGTCACTATCTCCAGAATCTGAGAATTAGATTTTTTTATGAGTGGAGTCACACAAATCCCTCATGCTTCCCCCTACCTGTCATCACTTCCTCTTCTCTTGTCGCCTCCCCACTTCTGGGGTTACTGTGCACCCTACATAACTATGCCTTCTTTTTCTTTAATTAGAGTTTTTTCCCCCCTAAACGCCAAGGACCCTCCACATGCCCTTCAACATGATTAACAAACCCCCCAATTATTTTAATGTGATCCACCGATTATTTTATATAATTAAGGGATCCCACCACAATGGGCGGTGGAAATCGTTCTCAGAGGACTTCAGAACACAAGTGTCTTGATTCATATCCCAGGAAGCTGAGTAGTTTGAAATATAATATTCCTTGCATTCCATCACGTGACTATTAATGGCAAAGAGGGGAGGGGGAAAGGAACCTTATCATCATCATATGTGTATATATCTCTGTGTGTTAACTCTTAATTCTCATGAACATTTTGCATCTCCCTAATCCAAAATGGGATAAACTGATACTCAGATTCTGGAAAGGAGAGAACCCACAAAAATTGGCAGAAATCTAACAAACACGATGATGAAAAGCCTAATTCTTCTTCACTTGAAACAACTTGGTTCAAATTTGCCTCCCAAACTGGGGAAGTGAATAGGTTCTCCTTCAAGAAGTCGCACAACCTGAATCAGCGGAAGCCGTGATTAAAATTTTGATTTAGAAGCGAAAAGATGCGGAACTAGTGACATATATCTAGTTTGATGCCATAGAGGAGAATATAAGCTGCCATTTGCCTCCGACACCAGAAATACTCGCACTGATCAACTTCCAAGCCGAGATGGCAACTTGATAACCCATGTTAACATATCCAACCAAAAGAAAAGGGTAATTAATAAGGTCTAATTACCTCTCCCATGGATGGTCTCATCTTGGGGTTCCTTTGGACACAAGAGTATGCTGCTTTGGCCATGAGGTATAATTTAATTGGTTTGTGTCATATGATTCCCCAAGGCGAGCGTCAACGAGTTCACGTAAAGCCAACTTCTCAATCAATGGCTCCGCCTAAGATTTCAACCACCATATAATGTTATCAAGCTTAATTAGCTGGGTTGGAATAACTAAGACTCGAAAAGATGAATCTAATGAGAAAGCGGACGAGTTCTCCAAATATTTAATTGAAGATACGGATGATAGAGCATACCCACTGTCGTAGAGAGAGTTGTTGTAGATTATTGTCATTGACCACCTTACGTCCTGATATCAATTGTAACAGAACAATGCCGTACGCATACGCATCTGTACGCACAGAAACAATGCCATCCTCAGCATACTCGGGAGCAAGGTATCTGCATGAGAACAAAAGGGCCTGTTTATATATGTATATATATATGGCTCTATGTAAGATGATTTCTGTTTCATGTACTTGGAACCAAAAGGCTTTTATATAATTCGGCATGCAAAGCGTAAACAGGTCCTCACCCTAATGTGCCCATTACCCTTGTTCGCAGGGTCTCATCACCCATCTTCCATTTGGCGAGACCAAAATCACCTAGCTGCATTCAGAAGACCACCCATATTGACTCCATTCATTAATAAATTGGTCGAAGTGAATTGGAAGGATATCTTATGTATTAATTAATGTTTTGTTGGTGATCTTACATCATCAGAGAACTTGTATTATTGAAATATGAGAGATTAATATGGCAGCAACAAATAAACTGTTCGAGGATCCGAATAAATGGGAGTGGAAATATGTATGGATCTCAACATTTGCTAAAATCGTGACAAATGATCAATTATATTTCTGTACCATGGGAACAAAGTCATGAGTGAGAAGTATATTGCTTGATCGCATATCTCGGTGAATTATTGGACCTCCACGGCATTCCTCATGCAGAAAACGCAATCCCTTTGCAGTTCCAATGGCGATGCCATATCTATGGTGCCACTCAAGAACTTTTGCGTTTTTATCTACAAATAAATGTTTCCCGATTATTTTGAGCGTAAAATCTATATGGTTGTATAGATTTGCACGAGGAGTTTGAAAATTAACTGATACATCCCATAAACTTGTACGTGCACTTACCATACAGATGCCAGTGAAGAGATTTATTGCAAATATATTCGTACACCAGAATATTTTGCCTTTCCTTGCAACAGTAACCTAACAGCATCACTATATTCTTGTGTCGAGCAAAACTTAAGACATAAACCTCAGAATTGAACTCAGAAAACCCTTGTCTGCTTTCTTCTTTTCTCACCTTAGCAGCAATTTGCTGTCCATCTCTAAGCACGCCCTTGTATACATGACCATATCCACCTTCACCTAACAAGTTATCGTTTGAAAAATTGTTTGTTGCCTGCTGTATGTCAGAATAGCTGAACCTCATTGATTCCTTCGTGCACAATTCCGTCCTTGTCCCACAACCAGCACAGAGAACTGGTGCGTCTGAAGATTTTGGAAGAAAGCCGTATTTGTATTGCTCCTGGGCTACCTGAAAAGTAATGGGATCTTGGCATTCATCTTTGGGGCCTATACCTGGAAAACAATGAAAATTCTTGTTTATAATTATCACTATGAACTTCTTCATATAGAAAATCATTATGACAAAAAGTGAACTTTAGCCCATGTAATTTTGAGACAGGGAAATTGTATAATTATTATATGAAGTGTTAAAAAAAGATTTAAAAAACAAAAAGTAGATAGGAGTGACCTGGATTTTCTTGCTTAGAAGAAGATCCAAAATCTAATGAGGAAATGTTCCCCCGTGACATGCTAGCATTTGAATGCTTTGTATGGCCCTCGAGCATATCAGAGGTATCATGAGGGATAGAAGATGAGGGATAACTTCTGCAAGAGATGACAGAATGCTCGGGGTCTTCAAATTTATGACCTTCTGATAGTGAAACAATATGGCACAGAGAATAGACAGGTTTGTGATCCGCGACGTCTGCTTCCGGAGAATGGTGAGATCTCCAAGCCTCCACAGTGAAATCATCCCTAGCTAATGCAACCTTACACGGTATCTTGTTCAAATGATATCTCAGATCTCGTCGAAGGTGCCTGTTCAGATCCGCCTAGTTAAATATACATGAAATTAAACCACTAGAGGAATTTCAATTATCATAGTAAGATAGCTCATGTAAAACTAATCAGTCAAATGTAAGAGGAAGTTTTCAATGCCATGTGCTAGAAAAAGTAATACCTATCGAGTATTATCCAATCTGCATTATAGCGTGCAATCTCTTGAAAAATAACCTGTCTAACTGGAAAACCTGCAATGACTTTGACTTCAATGCTAACCTGAATAAGGATTTAAAGGTGGCACAATGAACAGAACAAATTAAAACGGATCAGATGCTTACTTAAATCTATTTGCTCAAGTGATGTTTTTTACAACCAACATGAAGCAAAGCACCGCGTGTGGAAATTCAAATGTACGTTGAATGGAGGCAATAGAAAGGTAAGATAACAAACATATTATTAGCTTCAGCAGGTCATTGTGCATGGTAAGCTTTGGTATGAAGAATATATGGAAGGATATATATTAGCAATCCCTCTTTAATGAAAGGTATATAGTAATGAACTAATTTAACAATTTATATACGGGGATATTTTTCTTACTTTTGTTTGCCTGAATGAAACGAGATGGGAGAAAGGAAATAGCATATAAAAGCAATTGCTGACTGCATGAATAATTAAAGCATATCTTAGCAAACCTCATGTATTTGCCTGCAGTTTATTATAAATCATGCTACTCCGGTCATGATTTGGGTCCACTTTTAATAGATATATTAATTGTATAAAAACTGGTGGAAGTTGACATATTACCCCCTCTTTGTGGCAAACTTGGAAAATCGGCAAAAGCACGCTTGCATACGCTTCCACTTTCCTCTTAACTTCGTCCTCCATTGCACGAAAGTTTGTGCCAGCAAAAGACTCGGGGCATGCTAACGTCTGGTATCCCACTGTTAGATTTAATCCAAAGGAAGCAGAACACGAGAGACCACATAGTTATTTGGTAGCAATGGGAATCATTGAATTTGTCAAACTCGAATTTTAAATTAATGCGCTGCCAGCATATGCAATCACAGTCCAGTTGATATATGTTATAATTAACCATATCAGAACTCCAATTAAGTTTTCAATCATTGACAAAATCGACACAGCCATAAGTTCATATAATTAATTACTTACTGGGATGGGCCGCCTTATACAGAAGGCCGAGCACAAGCAGTTTATGACCTGCACCGAGAATGCCACTCTTATTTCGAACGTTCTCAACTACGAGCTTGATGTCGTTCTCACTGCGGTCCTTGGTGGCATCCCACGCAATGACGACATAAGACTGTGTATCTGAGCTCCCCATGGGGCATATATTAATCAAAACCCAGAAATATGTAAGGGTCTTCTAATCACAACTACGTTTCCTCCAAATTCTGTAACTTCTTCATAAAGGAATGTAAGCTTGGACTTCTAAACAAAGGGGTTGCCAAAAAACAGTAGGTGGCATAACATCGAAGACAGAGACAGATTTGTCTAAAGATTTCAGAGCAGAAGCTTCGTCTTCCTCTATTGGTATTTGGTGGAACTCTCCTCTCTCTCGATCAATTGATTGGACCGTCGAGAACATTCGAATGATCCTAGTATAATATCCTCAGGATATTCTTCGGCAGCAGAAATGGCGGGAAATCTGCCGTCCTCGATTGTGCCGATTGGGAAAATTGCCAAAGTGCTAGGAGACAAATTCCATTTTAAGACTCAGATAAGCGTATTCGTACATCCCCCAAATATCCCAGATTCCCTGTTCTTCACTTTTCAGTATGAAACTGTTTGATCTCTCGTTCCCCGCATCAGCGATTACGAGTTCTGCAGTGTTAGGAATCAAGTTTTTGCAGCCATATGTGGCCGAGGTGTTAATCATGAAATTAAATACCGTTACATGAACTGTGCCATGCATGTCGTTAATAGGACGATATTTATGTGGGTATTTAATAGTTTTGCTGCATATGTGAAGACTTGAGGATGCACGGTGGAAAAGGTGGAAGAGACAAAGCATAACAAACTCGACCATCCTCGGCCTTGCCAGCCTTGAAACTGGTTGTTGGATTTTAAACCAGGATAAAAACGAACTGAAACCCAGTTTGACATTTTTGCGCTGAGAATGACAAAACGTTAATAATCATAATTTTAGTCGTCCACGGATTCAATCCTACATTGAAGACATGCATAACCTTGATATGGCGCAAGAGGTCGGTGATATTTTATCCTGTGCTTCTGATTACCCTCACTTAGTGGTTTTTTTTTTTTTTGGTATAGAGCAAGTTTAATAAAATATTTTAAGTTCTATTATACTACCTCCAGTCCTAAATATAAGAGCTGGCTAACTAATTTGAGTGGATAAAGTAAATAGGTTAAGTTAGTTATTTGTAATAAATCGGTGTTATCTTTCATAAAATATCTTTGCTAATCAAGTTTATTGGCTAGAACTATGTTATTAGAATAACTATCTTGAAAAAAATAGATAAATATGAGAAATCAAATGAATTAGGGTTTTATATTTAGAACAAAAATAAAAGTCAAACAAGTTCTTATATTAAAAACTAGATGTAGTATATTTTAACTTCATCTAGTTCTAATTTGCTTTTTAGCACGTAAGAAGCTTTGCTAGTATGATTAGCTAATTCAAAAACTTCGTTCACGAGAAACCATAAACTAATTTTCAACAAGAAGGAAATGAATAAGAAGCATAGCAGAGTATGTGACTGCAGCAGAGTTACTATATTCTTCTATGGGTTTCCAACTGCAAAACTACTTTCAAATATTTTTTGAGAAGGGGAACGATCAATAGTTCGTACAAGTTTAATTAATCTGTTGATTTAATTTTTTGTAAAATTCAAATGGATGATTTCTATGATCTGACCGTTCAACATATTAAAAATACGACTTCAACAACTCCCTGCTGAATTTTATGACAATTATTATATGATGGTAACATATTTTAATATATTCACATCTGTAGCCCCAGTGGCCGACGTCTTAGAATTTTATTCCTACGCTAAGCAATATACGACTCTACGGCTCATTCCATGGGATGGAAGATGGATGTGGTATGAATTAAAGGCCATGCTTGTTTATTCTTATTTGATTTATGAGTTGGTAAGATTTACAGAGGAACATCAGAAGGGTAGTCTCCTGGATGGTTCTTAATGGCTTCTCTAAGTTGTCTCTCCTGCCCCTGAAGATTCGACGGTACTTGATCATACACATCTTTGAAAAGCTCCCCGAGAGCAGGTTTCTGTGCTTTCTCTGCTACTTGAATCGCTTGCACTAACTGCAGAAAAATAGCAAACATCATATAAAACTTCTTTAAAAAAAACACACAAAAGCCAGGTTTAGCAGAGATCATGGATGAATTCTAAGACGGACCTGCTTCTTGACACTTTCTCGAAGCTCTATTTCATCCTCGTCGCCCCACCAACCATTGCTCTCTACCCATCTTTTGAATCTATTTACAGGGTTTCGTGCCATTTTCCAATACTCAATCTCATCAATTGGCCGATACTTGGTTGAGTCGTCCGATGTTGAGTGGTGTCCTGCTCTGTACGTGAGTGCCTGCAATTTCATCAACACACACAAACTGTAACATCAAAGACAAATATCTGAGGTTCTATTAGCATGAGGGAGAGAGTTCAGTCACACCTCAATTAAAACTGGTCTATTTTCATTCACAGCCATTTCACGAGCAGCGTGAACTGCACTATAAACAGCTAGCGCATCATTTCCATCCACTCTGATACTTCGGATCCCGTATGCTCGGCCTTTAACGACAACTCCATCACCTTTAAAACAAGAGAGCAGTATACATAAGTTTCCAAAAGAGCCCCAATATCTGAAATTGATTTGGTAAGTTAAGAGTTGGGAGCAGTGTGAGATATCAGGTGGGGTATAAAAAAGAGTACTTCGAAATTGTTCTTCTATCGGGGTACTGATGGCCCATCCGTTGTTGCGACAGAAAAATATAACAGGAGCTTCCATCACTGCTGCAAAATTCAGACCAGCATGGAAATCTCCCTGCAAAGTTTGATGAGGTTAGAAAGAGTAATAAACTAGCAGTTTCAAAAGAGAGATTATTGAACAGCAACCTCACTGGAGCCGCCATCCCCGAAATAAGTGACAGCGCATGCTTTTTTCCCCACCATTTTAAGGGCGTAGCCAACGCCCGCCGCTTGAGGAAGCTGTGTTCTGTTTTTTGTCAAAATCAACATGAGCTTTTTTTCAGAGTTCATGTTAGTTACCTATAAGATGGCCTATAATTGAAATCTGCATTACAATGTGCTTATATATATCACTTACGCGATGGGGGATGAGACAGTGAAGTAATTGTGCTTGTTAGATCCATAGTGTATAGGCATCTGCTTTCCTTTTCCAAAATCACCTTCGTTTCCCATTAACTGGTTCGCAAACTCTTGCAGTGTAAAGCCACGCCACAGTAGAACTCCTGGCTCTCGGTACTAGCAACACAAAGAACGCCCACAAATACAAGCTCAGATAGTAAACCATCAGCTAACCATAAATTCATGATAGAACTTGCAATCGATGTACCCAAATAGCTCAATTGGTGTTAGTGAGCAGCGATGAAGTTGATGGTGGAAGTGAAGATTGTTACCAAACCTGAGGCAATATAACATCATCGGCAGAAAGTGCAGCTGCAGAAGCAATGTTAACAGCTTCTTCTCCTAATGAGGTGAGGTAGAAGGAGATTCTTCCTTGCCTCTGGACTTCGTAGAATACATTGTCCATGATTTGAAGAGTAACCATGTCGGAGTACATCTTTACAGCCATCTCCTTGCTGACCTATTAATCGAAGCCATGCTCAGCAGATATCTCAAACCATCAGTGCTGTGGAAGAGCAAAACGAAAGACACAGGATTTAGTTGCTGAGATACCTGTGCATAATTGCTGTCTGGCATGGGCACCCCATCGTCATCAAGAACTCGATAGCAAGGCACTCGTTTCTCAGCAGACTCGGGAATGAATCTCATTTCCGAAGTGAATTCAACTTTGCCTCCAGGAAAATCAATAGCCTCACGCAGCTGTTCGCTCCAAAATTGTTGCTTATTAGATCAATGTATAGTTTAATTGCATTTTCAAGATCCAAGACCCCAAAACTGAAAAGCTAGTCTCTAATGTCAAGCAATTAGAGGACAGTGATATTAAGATGATGGCGGAGGAGGATCTACTTAAAGTTTCAGGACACGGTGATTGATAGATAAGAACAATACCAGCTTCACGTATTTTGAAGTTCGATTTCTCTGGATCCTTTTCGTTGTCCATTGGTTTTTTTTTTACCGAATTAAAAAAAAAAAGGAGTTAAAAAATCAGAGTCTTGTGTTCATCTGTGAAACAAACGTGACGATTTCCCTATTTTATGAATATCCTCTAAATTTCATTTCTCTAACAAAGATAAATATATTTTCTTTTCTTTTCTTTTTGGTAATAGTTATTGCATGAAATTGTTGTCAAAATTCTAAACTAAAGTATGAATAGTAAAACAGCGTCTTTTTTATTGGGGGAAAGAAAGGAGAACTTGATGTAAACAGTGAAGTTAAACGAAATTAAACCAAACAATTTTTTACAGGGAGAATTCCAAAAAAAAATGCATTTTACTATATTTTAATAATAAATAACAACATTTAAAAAGTAAATAATAACATATTTTGTATTTATTCTTGATTTGGGATTTGAAATTCTAAAAATATATTTTAAATTTTTTTATATTACCCCTGAATTAAAAATGAATATTATATTTATGAGGAAAAATTACAAAAAAAAAAAGACAGTTGAAATAACAAAAAAATTGCAAATAGAAACCTATTACAACATTAATATAGGTTTTAACAACAATAATATATATTTTGACAATAATTTTTATAAATAAGTCATTGCATGTAATTTTTTAATTTTGGAGGTTTTTTTTGTTTTTACGATTTTCCCTATTTATAATCCATGAATACGGTGGCATAGATTTTCTGGGCCCATTAAGGCTAAGGTTTGGCGCCAAGCTTTGATTAATTCAATATAGCAATCCCAGATTCAAGGATTAGAACAAATCAAATCAAATCGGCACCATGTTGAGCTGCTGACAACTGTCAGGACTTATCCGGACTTTTTCCTCTTCCTCCTCTGATCCGTACAATACTATCTATCATCACGATCGTTATCATTATACTCCTCCTATCCGACCCAATTCTTAAGTTGGTTTTGGTCTTAAATATAATATCTATTTATCATATTTATCAATTTTCTCTAAATTACCTCTATAGATACTCCCTCAACTATAATCAAGTAGAAGAGGAAGAGGAGTATTAAGAAAAATGATTATGGTGTTTTAGGAAAAATGTGTCACTTTTCTTATAATTAACTAACTTACCTAACTTTCTTAATATAATCAAATTAGTTAAATGAGTCTTATATTAAGGACCGGAGGAGTATTAATCTAAATTAAAAAAAAAAAACTTGAAAATGTTGATCGGTCTCTCCCATTTTCAAAGCTGTTGACCTGAATTTGAAGATACGCGACTAAACTCATATCATGTCGCCAGCAACATCCAAAAGTGATTGGAACATTTTGCATAGTATATTCAAATAAATATAGAGTGGAAGTTGGTAATCAAGGGGGAAAAAAAATCATAGACAGTAATAGTTTTGATGCATGAAAAGGATTCAATTAGCAGAAGAAGAAGAAGAAGAAGATGTTGATGACGAAGGAGTAGGAGAAGGATCCGACTGTCAGATTTGATAGCTATGAATCCATGGTAGCAAGCCTTGTGAGTTCAAGTATTCATATATATCTTCTAACACGATCTGTTTTGTTAAGAGCAGAGCAAGTTATGGCGAAGCTGAGTAAGAATTACCTGCGCGTCATCGTCTTCGGCGACATGGGGCTGTGGTAATTGGATATGAGCTTTGGTGGATTCATGACGCCGGAAGGGGAAAAGTGTGCCCAAGCTTGTATTGCCCTGCGACGACGGAGGTGCTCTGTAACCGCACCCAACAAGTGACGTCGCCGATGAAGAAGGAGATGAAGAGTGGGTAAGAGCAGCGAGCAAGGCCGTAGTCCTTTTGGGAAAGCGGTGAATTACGGTTCTGGATCTTCCCAGCAAGTGGGTCGCCATTGGGTTTGCCAGCAGACAGAAATTAAAGGCAGAGGTCAGAGAGGACGACGGAGAGGCGCTTCCTTACCCGTCCCTCGTGCCCATTATATTGTGTTGGATTCCTCCATCCCTGGTGTCATTTCCCTCGTCCACGTGGACAAGGTTTGATATGTTTGTATACGAAAAATTATTTCTGAACATTAAATTTCAGAGTTATTAATTTCTGAGCTCGTATAATTTCATTTGTACATTTATACTGTTTAAATGATACTACTTAATATAATATTTCGTTTAACATTTATTTTGATCCTATATCACAGTCCGCTTTACCTCTTATATTTATGTATTTTTTCCTAAGGTAGTCATTCTAATAATAATAGTTTTAGTCAATACACTTAATTAGTAAAGATATTTTAGGAAAAACAACACTTATTTATTACAAATAACTAACTTAAATTATTTTCTTAATCAACTCAAATTAGTCAACTAACTCTTATATTTAGAATCAAAGGCAGCAAATAATAACAAGTACCGTCTGACGTATAAATTTGTGTTATTTTGCTAAAAACTTATAACTCAATTATCACCCATACCTTATTTTAATGGAGAAAGTCATAAATTCTACAGTCCATGTTGTGATGCAGGGATGGCTGTGTGAGAGCAAACAGTGTGTGGGGATTTACTTACTTATTTCCATTTATAAGTTATTTTAAATAAGCTCTAAACAGGTTCTCGCATGCTGACAGCCAATGATTTGGTGAAAATCAATTGTATTTGTAGTCTTCTTCCCTGCGGATAAATGTTGCCAGACAATTCCAAATTGTGAGTTAAAGATCAATTGGCCACGTAATTTTCTTTTTGATAACTGATAATTGGCCGCGTAAAATTTATTCATCGATATTTGAGGACATTTGCGTGGATTATGTGTTTCGAATTCGATTGACAGGGAAGGTTTACACAATAAGATTGATATATGTGTGTGTGTGTGTGTATATATATTGTTTCCCGAAAAAAACAATGTCATGGAGAAAAAATAATAATTTTGGAAGAACAGAATCGTTAATTTAATTGAAATATTATCCTGATTAAATGGATGGCCGTGCGTATCACTTTTTCTTTAATTAAAAAATGGGATGCGTGATTTAGTAGGGGGAAATATCGAATACGGATGTGTTAAAGGTGGAAAACAAAATTTTGAATTTTATTTTGGTGAGCACGTGGGAGTTGGCTAATAGGGAATATAATATAATACTCCTCTATTTCTTAATATAAAATCTAATTAACTAATTTGAATAGATTATGAATATCAGTCAAATTAATTAATATGATATGTTTTTTAAAAAATATCCTAAGTATTTTTCTTAATTCCCACCTTCATTTTCTTTTTAATTACTGTTAAGAAAATATTAATAAGATTAATTTTAAAAAAATTAATAAATATAAAAAATAGGTTTTAATATAAAATTAATATCAACTTTTTAATTAGGTTGGAAGAATAATAGTTAAAAATGGCGTGGGTGTTAAGGGAAAGATAAGAAAAAAATAGAAGAGGAGGGGGTTAGAGATAAGGAGGAGTGGGCGTTAGGCAGGGAAGGATGAGGACTGAGGAGCTTTCCAGCATCAACGCCGATCCCCACTGGCAGATAAAGGCGACAGCCACTTTTTGAGGAAATAAAGGATGACCAAAAATTAAAAATAGGATGGATAGGAAATACAAATAAGATGGAAACAAGTTGGGTCAAAGCTTGTTTAGTAACGTATTGGTTTGTGACCTATAATAAGTTTTTTTTTTTTAGCTTAAGCCTGGTTTGTAAAAGACCTGGCCTGGCCTGAACCTGTTAAAAAAAATTGTAATTTTAAAATTTTTAAAATGCACAGTAAGAAATTTATAAGCTCATAAAAAAATATAAAATATACATACTATATAATAATTATTTTTTATTATTATCTTTTATTTAAATTTTAATGTCATGAGTAATATTTTAAATCTTAACTACCATTAGTATTATTAAAAACAAGTTATAATTATATATTAAAATTTAAAATGAAACTAGATATAAATACAAAATAAAAATTAAAAAGGCTAGGCTAAACCAAGCTTGACAGGCCTAACAGGTTTTTCAAAAAACCTAGACTTAACTTATTAGACTGAACAAGCTATCAAAAAATCTGAGTTTTTTTTATTTAAAAAAAAAATCAAGCCAAATACATGTCAAATCACAGGTTCCTGACAAGCATTTGGTCTATTTTTACCCCTCAATACAAGTAACAGTCGGACCACAAAGCCGGGGGTATATTTTAGACTGCGGGACAGAGCTCGGCCAGGCTCCCTCCTCTGAGTGAGATTTAATATATTACAAAATTAAAATTAAATAGTAAAAATAAATAAATAAATAAATTTAAATCATTAAAATTTGATCACAGAGCCGTCCATTTGATTTGATTCTTTGAATGAGCAGCTCATGTGACACTGTATGACAATCGCGCATGCTATAATTCTGTACCAAAAATGATGTGTTTCAATTCTCTCGAGAAATGTTAATTATATAAATAAAGGAGACAAAAGCTCTGAGATAGCCTCGGGGCTGTAAAATGCAAAATCTGCAACAGAATTGGACTGCTATTCGTAGTTTGGGCCACTTTCCTGCTACCTTCGCCCATTTCTGGAATCTCATATTGAATCGCTTGCATAGCCTCCATAGAATCACTTCTCGCTATTACCAGATCATTCATTTCATTAAAAATCTAAGGGATAAAATAGGAAACTATGAAATAAAAACATTCTATGATACCTCCTTCATCCATAAGCGTGCGAATGAGCCGAAGATTGATTCTTGGTGGATTTCATTCATCCCCTTGATTTATGAGTAATTATTATAATTAATTAATATCAGTTTTTTTCCCCCCTCCGCGGAGGTAGTGGGGGGCACGGTGGGTGATCCCTACCCTGCCCTAGTTAATCGACGTGACTCGTGGTGGGCCTTCCACATGTGGCGTCGGCAAAAACTTTTTCCATTAAAAAATTGTGCTAAACCAAAGTGATCGCATCAGCATAATATTTAGAAAATAAGAAGATTAAATTTTTTTCACTTAGACATCGCATTAATCATCCTAATACAATAATCTAGTTTCCCACAGGGCAATATTTTTTTTGTTACTATAATTTTTAGTCTTTTAAATTTATTTTTATTTCCTTAAATTTCAAACTATAGATTTTGGTTTTTTAAAGGGCAAAATAGTCCAAGTTTTTATTGGACTATAGGAACTAGTGTTTTAAATAACAAAAAACTGACAAAACTAAAACCTGTAGTTTAAAACTTCAAAGACTAAAATCAAAATTAAGATAAACTTAAAAAACCAAAATTTGTATCAACTTTTATTTTTCACAATTTACAATGATTCTGTAACTTTTCTTTCATGTTTTGTAAATTTACTCGGTCTTTTTTCTAAATACTTCTCCGATCCTTAATATGGGATCTAATTAGAATGTTGATCTTGATCCTAAATATACAATCTATTTTTTATATTTACCAATTCTTTTCTAAATTACCCCTATTAAATAATCAAATGCCACAATAATACTTATTACTCATTAATAATATACCTAGATATTTTATAAAGCGAGTGAGTACTTATTATTCATTAATTCCACACATACATCAATTCTAACGTTTTATATTTTTAATAAAATAATTTAAAATATTTTTTGACATGTCTTTTTAAAAAAAGTTTTAACCGAGGGTATTTTGAAAAACATATATCATATTTATGGTTATTATCTAATTTATTTAATTTTTTTAATTTAACCAAAATTGTTAAATAAATCAGGTATTAAAGATCCGAGTATTATGGTATGCTTTTTTGAGACTTCTTCGCAGACTGTTGTTTTTGATAATCATAGATGATTCCGTCACCTGCTTCAACAATCAGGCTGCATTTTACTCTCCCAAGGTCGCGTCCCTCCATTCTATCCCTTTCCTTCCAACCAACGCTATCCTACACCCCGGCCCCTATGTGCATTTGAAAACGGGATGGAACCGTTATTATTTTAATATTGTAATATTCCCTCCCTCTCCCCTCACTTCCTGCTCCGGCCCAAAAACTCTGCTCCAGTCCTACCTAACCTTTATTTGTGTTTATTTCCAGTTCATTCCCTTTCCAACAATACATCATGATGTAACTAATTTGATAAAAAAGGAGTACATTTAAAAAAAGCCCACTAACCAAACAGGCCAATTTCCTCAGCCTCCCTCTGAGGGATGATGTGATTTTATTTAATCTTTCCTTTCGTCCTCCACTCTGCCTCCCACGTCATTTCTTTATTACTACTGTTTTTAATATAAAAATTTATTTAATTTTTATTTTGATTCTATATATAAGATTTTAAATTATTTTATCTTTATATTTTTATTTTTTAATGTAGTTCTTATAATAATAATAGTTCTAACCTATACGCTTAATTAGTAAGGATATTTTATGAAAAACAATACTCCTCCGGTCCTTAATATAAGACACATTTAACTAATTTGATTAGATTCAGGAAGTTAGGTAAGTTAGTTAATTATAAGAAATGTGACACGTTTTTTTAAAATACCATAATCATCTTTCTTAATACCACATCTTTCTTTTTTACTTGATCATAGTTGAGGGAGTATCCATAGGACTAATTTAGAGAAAATTGATAAATATGAAAAATTGGTCTTATATTTAGGATCAAAACTAACTCAACAATTAGATCTTATATTAAGGACTAGAAGAGTATTTATTTATTACAAATAATTAATTTAACCTAGTTTTTTTAATCTACTTAAATTAGTCAATAAGTTTTTATATTAAAGATAGAAGGTAATATTAATTTGTTTCTGTGAATAAAACCTGGTCCTTTTGTTGGCTCCTCAGCAATTCTGGGATGCTCTCGGATGAACACTTCCTGCCAATCAATCCTTGTTTCAACAACCTCTCAATTCCAATTCACTCTGATCTGGGAAGCGTATTTGGCTAACCGCAAATTGAGGCCAAAGCGTCACATCATACGCGCATATGCTTAGATATACACTACATATGGT